ATTACGTTGTGAATCAACTGTAAATGAGGAAATTAATGAATGGAGGACTGAATTAGTGACTCCCAATCTGGCCCTGCGACCTCCATTACTACAGCCTCCATACTGTATCTCCTTCTTCCTATACCCATTCACCCTCTCACCTTTGGCCACCCCCTACAACTCCACATGATCATCCCACCATCTGACCCATCTAGACTATAAATTGGTCTCCTACCTCCACAAGGTGCCCATTTTGATGTCCAAATCTCTGTTGCCCCATCTTCCTCATTCCAGAGACCTCCGCCAAATCCCCTTCAACTTCCATCCCCCTTGAATGCTGCATCCTCCATTCTCTCTGTCTCCCTAGACCTAATTCCAGTCCCCTCTCCCCGTCTCAACATACATGCCAGTGATCTCAGCTCATTTTGAATGTTCTCTGCACCTCTAGATTTCAAATTCCCCAGCCCTCAACTGTCAGACTTCCTCATCTGCCCCCTGACCCACATGCAATCTCCCAGCCCTATAATCCCTAACTTTTTCTCCTCCACTTTAGCCCATCATGCCTACTACCCTCTCCAGCTCCCTTCATCACTCTGTTCCCATTTTGCCCTGTGGGCAGGGCACTCTTCTGTGCCCACTATACCCCCCACCTCAGGCTCTATATCCCCTTCTACCCTCCCTATCTGCCTTTAGCCACTAAATACAAACAGGACCTCATGCCCCACTTTATTATTCCTTTTTTTCCCTCATATTCTTTTACTTCTCACAGACATTGTCTCAGCTGCCTTTTACCCACTCTTGGTCTTTAACCACCTTTTCTCATGATCTTCCCATTCCTATTAACCCATTTATTCTCTCACATTTGTGCCACTTACCTACTCAGCACACATATCTCCAGTACTCTTAACTTCCTTGCACACTTTGCCCCTTGTACCCTTAAGCCCTGCACTTCCACCACTCTGTGACTTTAACCTTCTTGTGCCTTTTAACCTCTTTCCTCTCTCTCCCGTGCACTCTCTCTCCCTCCATGCCCCCACGCTCTCTGCACCCTCCCAATACACCCCCTCCCTGTGTCCTCACTTTACCTCACTCTATCCCACACCCACAGACTGTCGCTCCCCCAACACAATCTGCAGCCATGTGCCTTGACCTGAAGTGGTAATGCTCACGACACATTTTAAATGCTGCACTTTGTTACTATCATCTTTACAGGTTGTTGTAGAGATGGAAGGAGCAACAAGGGTGACAAGTGACTCTTTTTGGGGCATCTAGAGGTGCAATGAAACCACTGTTCTTCCATATATGAACACCTTATCTAGATATGCAAGCATAATCCTGGTGTGAGTGTGACTTTATGAATGTGAGTGGGGCTGTTTTACTTTGTGTGAGTGTATATGTATTGTATAATGTGAATGTGTGCTTATATGTGGAGAGCTGCAGATGAGTGTGAGTTTACTAAAGAAAGTGTATGTGAGTGTGTACGTGGTGAAGTATGTAAGTGTGTGTGACTGTGTGTTTGTGTGAGTATGCATGCACACATGTGTTTGCGTCTGTGTGTAAGGGTGTAAATTAGTGTCTGTGTGTGTGTGTGTGGACTAGGGGTTGTCCAACACAATGGTTTTAATCCCTCACTTTGAAATTTAGGGGGCGGGGCATTAAATACTAGACCTTGATCAAAATGTGCATTTGTTTGTAGGAAAAAGCAAAGGATTAATTGGAACTCATATTTTATATTTCTTAATTAATTACAAAGGAAAACAAGGTTCTGTACTGAAAGTAAATAAATAAACAAACAAACAAATAAATTTTCAGCCAAAAAAAAAAGGGTAGGATACCGTGGTATTCATTCAATGTTCTAGAATTGAGGAAGTGACATTAGCTTATCTCATAGTTAGAGGAATTGAAAAAACTGTCTGTAAAAATCATCTGATCCTGCCTGTAAAGCCATGTTTTATTAGTGAGGAGGTCATATACATCTATCTTTCTATGGATATTGTTCTATTTATAATTCATATCCCTACTCGGATGGTGGGGAAGGGTGAATATGGGAATAGTACATTTTAGTATACTACAAAACTTCCACATTACCTAGACTTCCAAATCAAATTGCCATTGAGTTGTGGGTTTCTAGTGTAAATTTTGTCAACATATTCTTCCTCTGACATCTCTCTCTTTTAAAACCTTCTCAGGTATGTTGTCTGTTTCCATTGCTCTGCCGTTAATTAAATGATGGTACAGCACAGTGGTCTGAAGATTAGAAAAGAACTCACTTTTGGGTAAAAAAAAAAAAGAAAAAAATTTCTGGAGAGCAGAGAATCCAGTGAGATACATGAGCTTCCCTGCCAGTCCCTCACATGTCAGACCTCAGTATTTCCTGCTCCTTCCACGTGAGACTCTGCCTCCAGAGATTAAAGAAAGAGCCTCTCCCAAACTCTGCGATGGTCTCTTTGGAGATGATAACTACAAACTTGTAATTGTTCTTTGGTAACTAGCAAATGAGAAAAAAGTTTTTCACAAATATTCTCAGTTCCCCAAGCCTGTCCTCTCACAGGCTTGAAGTCCACAGATGAAGTCCACAATGACCACTCTGTGTCTCACAGCCCTTCAGCCTCATCACCTCTCCACATTTCTCCACCATGTTCGAGTTAGAAACAGACTGGGTTTTACTGAATTCCGAACCAACAAATCCCACCCCACCATCCACACTCTTAACCTCCTTTCTCCACAGGAAGATGACCTGTAATTGTTGCTGCCCCTCAGTGCCACCACCTTTCCTTCCGTGTGTTTGCTTCCTGGAGAGCTGGGTTTCCCACACACGTAGGGATAAAATTTAGCATCTAAATAAGCATAGCTTTGGCTTTTGTCTAATGGATGAGATTTCTGATGGCCACATACATGTTGCAACCTGGCCTCAAAGCCCATAGTACATTCCTTCAAGAATTTCTATTAGTGGAGACTGCTGCAGTCAGCACTTGTACTCTGTTTGGGGACCTCGAGGAAACACCTTACATTATTTCATTAATTCCATCAGTTGATGAGTTGCCTGGTAATGGAATAACTGACCACCCATCCCATACCCACCTGACTGGGGGCACTAGGATGGCCCCCAATCAGGTGATATCACCCCATGACAGGTGATAAGGGCCTGTCTACTCTCACCTGGTTTGTCTTTGTTTTCTCTGCTGGAAGAGCTCTTGAGGACTTTGTTTCTCATATTCAGCTTTTATTTCCTGCCATGCCACCTGACAAGCTTCACATACTTGAGCGTGACACACTCTCTCCATTCCTTGTTGGCCAAAGTTCTCACCGGGACCCAGTCCAGGAATGTGCTTTCCATCTTCTGTCTTCACACCTGGAAGTGAAGAAACAGGAAGAAAAGAGAAGAAAACGGAGAGAGGAGAAAACAGAATGTGTGGAGGTGGGAGAATAGAAAAGGAGAGAAAGAAGAGGCGAAGTGGGAAGAATAAGAGAAAGAAAGCAAAGATGGTGGAGTTAAGGAAAGGAGGAGAGGAGAAAAAACAGAAGGGGAGGTGGGGGGGGTGAAGAGGAGGAGGATGAGGGAAGGACAGAAAGCAGACTGGGTGGAGGAGAATGGTCTGGAAGATGAGTGGCACAGCAGCTAGTGTGATTAACTTGCCCAGTTTGCCCAGGACTTCCCCAATTTTATCATGAAAAGTCCTGCTTCTCGGTCCTGAGAAAAGCAGGACAATTGATTTCCTGAGCAGCAGCAGCAGCAAGAGGAGCAGAAATTACCAGAGATCCTTTGTGTAACCAACAGAACCTGGCAGAAGGAACAATATGTCATTTCTGAAGCTAGGTTATAAAAGACACTGTGGATTCCACCTTGGTCTGGCTCTCTTTCTTTCTTGAATCACTTGCTCTGGGGGAGGCCAGCTGTCCCATTGTAACCAGGCCCATGGAGAGAGCAATCACTGAGGCTTCCTCCCAAAGGATGACCTGAGGGGTCACATCCCAGTTTCCATCACTTCCAAGACACCCAACTCCACCCACTCGCACCAAAAGCTTTGAATCTAGCCACTTTCAACTTGTTGAGGAAAACATCTCAGTTGCCAATATAAGTGGCCCTCATAACTCTACTCTTTTACCTTAGATTGATTTAAAACATTAACTTAAGAACACGCTGAAGCACCTCTGCTTCACAAGAAACCAAAGAGATTTAAAGGAATCAAAAAGCAGAGAAACAAGCACAGTCGGGCAGAAGCATCAACAGACTCTGAAGCAGCCATGGACAAAGCCAAGGAGGCCAGGCCCCGCCCCCACGTTGACCCCGCCCCCACCCCACAGCGCTTCCTGTCCCGTCCCAGCCACCGTCCACGTCCCGCCTCTCGCCGGCCGCGCCCCGCCCTCTGCACCGCCTCTCCGTCCGCGCGTGCGCAGTTTCCTGCAGACCCGGAAGTGAATCGAGTTGAGCGACAGATACGCTCCGGTGAGTGAGTGTCGGATTTTCTGTTTCAAATTGGCGCTTTGCGGCCCCACAGCCCTCTGTCCTCCCCACCCAGGGTTGGGGGGGGGTCTCTGGGTATTAAAATCACCATCCCCGCCTTCCCGCCCACGCTGAGTGCCGGCGTCACCGTGAGACGTGCCGAGGCCCCGTAACTCTGCTGCCGGTTCCCGGGGTCCCTGTCCGCTTCGCGCGAAAATCGCTCCAAAGTCCCTACCCTCGGCTAGTTCTGCTTTCGATCCGGTAGAGGCCGCCGCGTCGTTTTCTTGTTAAAATGCTTCACTGACCTCCCACTCCCCTGCCCCTGGTCCAGGAAGAGGTGAGGGGGGCTCTCTCCGTGGGGTTTGGTCAGGGCGGGGTCTGTGCCTTGAAGGCGAGAGTGAGTCCAGCCCAGATCCCGCTGTGGCCCCGGAACGTGTGGGCGTCACAAGGAGGGCAGCGAGTTCTGAAGAAAAGGAGAACAAGGAAACAAAAAACGCTCACTTGTTTGTCTCTGTGTACTCGACTCCCTCCTGTTGCAGTGTGCAGGAGAGAATTGTCTTTTGTACATGTTGAGGGCCCTCCTCTGTGTGTGCTTGTGTCACAGGAAGAGGGTATGTTGATTTTAAGCACTAAACAGCGTATTTTCAACATTCAGGATTCACTTCTCAAAACTGATTTTATTTGAGAAAGAAGCCCAAAGGAAGAGGAAAGAAAGAGCAGTCAGAAATGACTCTTTCCCAGGTAAAAGTCATATTTGGTTTCATTTATTCCTAGTATTTTATGGTTCAAAGTTATGTTTGTTTGTCTTTAATTGCGATTCACTGGATATCTTGTACCTATTTTATTCAGCTTAAAGTTTCAGATAGTATATGCAGTAATAGCTTCATTTGTAATTTGATAAGCCCCTCTATTTAGTTTTTCTCTTCAAAATCATGTTGGCTGTCCTAGATGCAGCAGAGGTTTTTGTTTGAAATCCCCATATTTATTTTGAGTTTGGGTTGCTCTGAATTTCTGCAGTCATTGAAGTCTTTATATCACCACATCTTCCAAGTAAGACTTGTGATGTTCGGACTGTATGTCTGTGTTATGTCCTTCAGTAAAGTTTTATAATTTCTTCATATAGGTCTAGAAATGTGTTGTAAATAGATGTCATGGTATATTTGCTAGTGGAAATGCAGACTGTTTCTCATCTGGCTTGTGTTGTTTTAAATTACTATTACTAAAGAAGAAAAATTGTTCTCAGTATATTGTTGTTAGCTCTTATAGTTAAAAACTTTCTTTTTCTAGGTTGCTCTCATGTCATCTGAGTAATAATATTTCCAACTCTTAGACTTTATTTTCGCGTTACCTCATTTTCCCTCTTTTGCTGGCCCAGCTCAGGCATTATTTGCAGTAGTGGGTGGCAGGAGGCCTCACCATAATATCCCTTGTGTCAGCCTCCTCTTGAGTGGAAATGCTTTCATTGTTTACTGCCAGTCATGATGTTTGCTGAAATTTTCTTGCTTAATAACCCTTCTTTTAATTTTCTATTTGGCATGATTTTTCGTTATCCAAGAATTTTCTCAAAGATCTGCTTTCATAAATTATTTTTTTTCTTTTTTAATCTGTTAAATTAATGTATAACATTAATAAATTTTATAATCTTCAGTCGTTTTATTATTGGATAAACTCCATTTGGCTTATGTTAATGGCTAAATATCAAATTTTATTTTTATTTTTTTTATTTTTTATTTTTTTTCATAGATAAACACAATTGTGTTTATTATGGCATGCATTCCGTGGCAAAACTACAAACTGGAAGTGGAAAGCTGGCTTTCACTGTCTCCTACCTGAGTCATTGGAAGTGTAGAAAAAAATCAAGTAGTATGCGTCAATATAAGATTAAATTCTATAAAATATTTTTTTTTTAATTTTTTGTTTATTGCAGTAACATTGGTTTATAACATTGTAAAAATTTCAGGTGTACATCATTGTACTTCTATTTCTGCATGGACTACATCATGTTCACCACCATAAATATCAAATTTTAAATGAATAAAATTTTATTGATATTTACGTATATGTATTTAGTGGAGATTGAAAGTAAAATTTTCTTTCTTGTAGTTTTTTTAAAGTAGGCTAATATGGAGTAATGTTGACAACAACCTAACTAAAATTCAGTACAATGTATAAATGTTCGTTTTACCAAAAATGCTGAAATACACGAGTAAAAAGTTAATACATAAAAAAGTCATTCCAAAACATCTGTCATTCAGAGACAACTACTTTTACTGAAAGTGTGTGTGTGTGTGTATGCAAGCAGAAACCTAGGGTATATATAAAAGATACATCATCATTTCATAAGTAACTTTTATATTCGTTTTAGCCTTTGAAAATTGTTCTTCCATATTTTCCACGGCCTTAGATTTTTTTCTACACTATCACGTTGCTGATTTAATAGTAGTAAGAATGTTAACGTATCATGTGCATGCATGTGTGTGAGTGTATTAAGACCTTTTATGCAGTTGCATGTTGTTCACTTTGAACTTGTTTCAAGTTTTCCCATTTGGGAAACCCACTATCAATGTACTTTTAATGCGACATCTGTTACTTAACTGTGTGATTCTTGAAGTTCAATTCTAAACTCCAACCACCCGGGTTAGGTGCTGGTTCTGCTATTTCTTAGCTGTTTGACCTGAGGCGAGTTTCTTAGAATCTTTGTGACACAAAGAGGAGTTGCCTCCTCTAGAAGGTGGGAACAGATGTTTCTTTAATGTTATTATAGGAAATTATGCACATTCATAGTAATACTTAGCACATGGTAAGTGTTCAAAAACTGTTTGTCTTTGCCATTATAATCATCACCACAATTCTTAGATTCTAAACTTTCGTTAAAGCCAATGTAGACTTCATAATCCCTAAAGACACCACTCATCCTCTAGCTCATCAGAGAAATTAAATATCATTGGTGTGTAGAACATAGTGTCTAACACTTCTATACAGACTACCTTGTGATGAATTTTTTTATTTGTATATTTCTTTGTCCACAAAAATGTGAAATGCACAAGTGATTTTGTGAATTTATGTCCTCTGGTTGAAAAGTATAATAACACAAAATCAGCGAAATATGACTTGCTCAAAATTATCTTACACTGATCTATCAAAACACTCACTACAACCAAATCAGTCCCTATACCTCTCTCCTCTCCTTTTGTGTGAAAGTAAAAACTCTCCCCCTGTCCACTTGGTGAATTGTGTTTTTCATTACAGGTGCTGTTAACTTTCAGGGATGTGGCCATAGAATTCTCTCAGGAGGAGTGGGAATGCCTGGACCCTGCTCAGAGGGCCTTGTACAGGGACGTGATGTTGGAGAACTACAGGAACCTGCTCTTCCTAGGTGAGGATAACTTCCCTCCAAAAGTCAGGATCTGCCCTGTATATCTTTGCATTTTCCCTTGGGAGTCTCTGGGGAGCACTGCTTTGCTGGCTGGGTTTCAGATTCTTGTTTTTCAGAGAGAGTTTGAAGCCATGTTGATTCAGAAATAAAAAGCTTCATGATGCGGCATGTGGACTTTGACCTTCCCCTCTCTTCAGATTGTCTGCCCACTTCACGCTAGATTAGTGATGCTTCCGCAACCCGAGTAATCACAAAACCTTGTAGCAAAATTTTAAAATATCTGATTGCCTGGTTTTACCCTTGTGTTTTTGATTCAGTAATTCTTGGAAGAGAGCTAGATATCTGTATATTTAAAATATTCCTTAGGCATTCAGAAGAAGGCAGTCAGTGGACAAATTTGTGAAATATTTTTCTAGAGCTATCTGCAATGTCCTCTCTTCTCAGCTGAACAAAGGGCTGGGATTAAATTCTGGAAAACCCCAGCATATCATGTTTCTTTTTTCTTACAAGCAGGAATCTCTCTTTCTGATCTGAATATTATTTCCATTTTGGAGCAAAGGAAATGGCCCTGGGCTGTGGAGGGTGAGGTGAAAATAGTTGAAAAGCCAGGTAGGTGAGAGTGTACCAGAGGTGTGAACACAGGTAAGAGCTCAGAAAGGGAGAGAGGAACCAACTCCATCCAATATTGTTTGAGAAACTCTCCTCAAATAGGAGAAGTCTGTGGGAAAAGAAAAGTACTTGTGAGCTGTCAAAGGAAATCTCTTCCCCCACTTACTCTGTTCTTCAGACAGGCAAAATTTATCCTGCACCCATCCAGTCGTGTTCCAGCTGATGCAGAGACAAAGGCAAAGTCTTTATCATGACCTACAATACTCTGTTGTCTGGCTCCTGTGACCTTTTTGATCCTTTGGCCTTGAGAGTGATGAGAAGGGCTGTTTCAAAGGGGTCCACTTTCCCTTATGGTCTCTCCTTCTGTCCTTGATTCTATCTGATTCCAACTGTTCCTCTCTAGACCTGACTCCAGGACCTGTCCAGGTTCTATCCTCATTTCCCATATTTAGGAGACCTTAGGAGATGGGAAAACATTGGCTGCCCTTCCATTGCATCTGGGGCCCCAGGCAAGTGCATGGGACTGCCTCATGTGCCCTCTGCCTCATTAAGCTTCACTGTCATTGCTTCAGTCCTGCTTTTGCCACATGTCAGGAGTGTTTAAGGGGGCAGTGGGGTGGATCTTCTGAGATTGTTACTCAGCAGTAACAATCCCACATGGGGAGCATCTCTCAGTCTTTTTGGCACTCATCTTGAGATTTGTGGACAGAGCACACAGCTCCTTCTCAAGGACCCTACAAGATCTGCTTGCTTTGCTTCCATATGTTACCTTTTTCTCTTTCTTCCAACACTCTGCCTATGCTGAGAATGTAGATGAACCTTGGCTCTTGCAGATTTTTTATTCTCAACATTTTGCTTCCGAAACTTATGCTTTCTTAGGGTCTGAAATATCAGCCTCTTTTTCTGCTGTGATAACCCACTTTCACATGATGGACAGTTTCTAGTGGACTCTCCCACGGAGGGGGTTTACTGGGTAACAGCAAATTTTTGAAGGAGAACACTTGGATTAATATGTTACAGTGTCGTTCTGCTACTTAAAGAAGTGCCCATTTAAGCCACTGAATGGAATGGTCAGCAAATCCTAAAATGCTGAGATAGAAGGTATAAGCTGACTAATAAGTGGTTGTAGTTGTCTTTTTGAGGAGTGTTGCAGTGTCTCTCAAGGGCAGTTTGGCAGTGTTGATCAAACATCCTAATGAACATTCCCTTTGAGCTGGCAATCACAGATGTATGGATTTATCCTAGAGAGAACATTGTCACAACCTTGTATCTGTGAGGCTGTGACCAAATTATTCATCCCATGTGTATACCATTGTTCATTCTCTTTTGAACAAATCTAATTTTGATACATCATATTGAGGGAATTTATGAAGTTAAATGATGCCTCCGTTTTCTAACGCTACCTTAGTTTGTTAGGTTTAAGGCACTACTGTTTTTATCATGTGCATTTCCCTGTATTATAAATGAACTTTAAAAAAAATTAATCATTTATTACATATTTTTGATAACACTCAGAATTCTGTTTTATAGCTGCCATTTGTGCGGCTATTGGTTTGAGTAATAAATATTTCTTTATATATTTTACAAGGAGGTTTCCTTCTTGAGTGTTGAGAGTTATGACTCAGCAACAGTTTCCCCAAAACCTTCTCAAACCTCTGAATTTTATGAAAAAATTATCTTGGTCCCTTTATTCTCTTTCCCTGATTTATTTAGTACCTACTAATAAAGTGCCTTTTTCTCAAATTGATTGTATTTTTTACGTTGGGGATGTTGGATCTTAAGAATATATTTTGTATTAAGTTACTGTGTTCATCCTAGAAATACCATTAAATTGATTTGTTATAATTTGTTATATAAGATACCCCACGTTTTGTATAGTATATTTTAAGTTTTCTAAATACAACTTGTTGGGTTTTATTTGAATTTTACTGGCTTTTTAGATTTTGGTACAAATGCTTTATTCTATAATTAATCTCCCTGTCTAGATTCATCATGTACGTCTTGGTGTACTAAACTAATATTTAAATATCTCATTGTATTTTATTGGAAACTTAGCCAATCTCTTCCACTGCATGTATGTCCTCAACACTCTTGCTTATAACACTTGTGTTTTCCATAAAGTTTCTAATGTTCTAGAAATTATATTCTTCAATTAACACTCGAAGGCTGTTTTGATCCTCATCTTTTAAACTGAATTCCATAAAAAGTTTACCTGGTCCTTGTTGACCCACAGACCAGTGCTCTCCTGTTTTCTGGCGTGGTCAGCTGCTTATGTTGCTCACCACCTCTCTGCACATTGACCTGCTCCATGGCACTGCCAAAAGTTGTTTCTGCAGTCCCCTGCTGCTAACACTGCCCTTCAGTAGAATTCAGTCCCTGCTGTGGATCATTGTTGTTTTCCCCTTGAAGTTGCCTACGTTCTGATGATGATTATGAAGTCAGAATTTATTAATTTTGGATAAGTGCACATTAGTTTTCATTGATTCATAATGACAATTGTAATCTACTACTGTATATAGTAAGATCATCCCTCACCTCATGTCTCTTTATGCCAGAGATTGTGTTAAGAGATCCACATATATGATTTCAGATAGTTAGAGAAGGCCAGCAAAAGAAACATTATTTTTATATAATAAACAAGGACACTTAGACTCAAAAAGGTTAAGATGCCAAAATTGGTAAATTTCTATTTATAAAATATATTATGTAATTAATAATTTGGTTAGTATGTTATTTCTTTTTAGCTAATGTAATCGGTAATCACATTTCCCCCAAAGTTCAGACCTTGACAAGAGCCTTCTGCTAACTTTGTTTCCTTCCAATAAACTCTTTGTCCTCCCCACCAGGAATTCATCATCTTGCACTCATGGTCATCCTCCATTGCTGTATTCTTGAGTTTCTTTGCATCTGCACGTGTATGTACAGAGTGAATTCATTCGTTCTTCTCTTGATGGCCGTTTCTACAATTTTGCTTTTGATACCTGTTAGGAACATTTTTGTACATGTCTCATGGAATGTATATGTAGGACTCTCTTGAGTATATGCCTATAAATAGAAATCCAAGGATACTCAGTTTGATAAATTTCAGGGCAAATATTAGAATAGAAGTATACCTGTATTCCTCCCACTGTATCACATTCCCTCCCTTTTAGTCTCTTCCATGTTCTCCCCTCCCATAGTGTATTTCCCACAGAATGGGTCAGTATCGTGCCACTTGCTAGATCAGTTCATTTCTTCTTCTAAGATAAGGATTTATACTGTCCTAGCACAGGCATGTTTCCATAAATTGGCAAGTACAAGCTCTGTTCTTATCAGCTTCTTCATTGACCTGGATGGAGCTCACTGTTACTTCCTTAGCATATTAATTTTGAGCCCTGGATGTTCAAGTTTCCTCAGAATCCCCTACTGCTACCACTTCCCCCACAATGTATGAAGATCCCTATTCTTTCAGAAGACAGCTTGCTCAGGACAGCACTGTAATCTAGTTACTGTCTAAATCAGCACATTCAGGGAGTAATGACTCAGATGCGGTTATCCTGGAGGGATAACTGAGCTCAGTAGCACTGTTAGTAACACGGCTCCATTCCTGTAATTTTCTTGAAGGATTTCTGTCTATGATGCTGGGATTTGCTATGACTGTTGTGCCTACTTCCTGGGTGGGCAGTGGTGTTTAGCGCTTTTAAAAACATGTGGTCTGAGCCTGCAAGCCCAGGTTCAAATCTTGGTTCTCACATTTACTTTCTGTGTGAATTAGTGTTGGATATATAAACCCCATGGGCCCATTGTTTTTATGTGAAAAATTATGATAATTTACCTCAAGAATATTTAAATAAGTCAATGCTTATTAGAGGCTTAGAGAGCTTAGAACGTTGCATGGCATGTAGTAAGGACTGAAAATTTACCTTTATTTACTAAGATTTCTTAACTGTCTCTTATGTTTAATATGAGGTTGACCTTTGCTTGCATTATATCTTCTCTGTATTTTGCAGTTTGTTTCATATCAACATTGTCTCTGACCTTAGTTAATAAGTTTTCAAAGCACACACTCTGTATTACTTATATTTTGTGACTGCAGACTTGCCTACATAATTAAAGGTTGCTCTGTAGTTAGGAAATTGCTCCATTTGTTGGCTGCTACTTAAATGCAGGCATAAAGTCATAATTCTTATTTCTGATTGCCTTCCACTAGTCTTAGTCTTTTAAATACTATGTATTTAACTGAACTGAATAGTTCAAAAGTCAGTGGTTCTTAAGATATTTTCTAGTTCTCATATTGTGTACTTCTTCTAGAATAGAAATCCTTTCCTTTGTTCTGAAGGAAAAAGATTTTAGAATTCCACAGATTATAAATTTTGTAATTGTGTTTACTTATTATTCAGCTTCTGGATTTGTCATGGGTTTCTAAAATGTTTGATTCATTTTTATTATGA